ACCGCAAACAGAGAGGCCATTAGCTCAGGGCCCCAGGATGGCTGGCAATGCAGAGGTGTATGAATATTCTTGTACTTTTCTTCTGTTTGGGTTTTTTTTTTCCCCCTTTCAGTCACATCTGTGTTTTGTTTTCTCTCATTTCAAATGTTTCCCAACACATCGTGTTTAGTGAGGTGTTTAAGGGAGACTGAGAGATGCCGTTGGAGGCAGCGTTTTATAGCACAGTTTGTACACTAGTTTATCACCAAATTAAAACAAAGATGTAAGTTGGAAGACGCAGCCTGCTGCTAAGCCTTCCTCGGGTGGTTTTCTGTGTTGCGGCGAGAAAGTGGGGGAAAGCAAGCAATGAAAGGAAAAACTGAATCTCCGTTGTTCTACTTGCTCGGTTTCTTAATGCGAAGAAACCAAAAGGATGCACAGAATGTTTGGTTTGCCTATTGCTTAATTACAGAATTTTTTTTAAAAGAAAAATACAGAAATAAAGAAAAGCAAGATTTTGGTGTTCCTACAATAACATCGTGGACTTTTTCATAGTGTCCACAGTGATTCACTGCTTCGTTTTTTTGGGGGGGTTTTTCCGTAAGGAGTACGAGGTGTGTGGCTTTATGTGACCATTATCCCTCTTCCCACTTGATATAAAATTTCCATGAAGTCTGTAATGTTTGTTTCCCTGGAAATTCCAGGGTTTTTCCAAAGGCACATCCTCACATAGACCCTTCAGAGGCCAAGGAATTTAGCTTCTATTTCTAATTGTGGAAGTCCCCCAACAAGGCTTCCTAAGCAGCCAGGCAGCTTCCTCTAGAACTTCAAAGGGGAAAAAGGCTGCAGATCTTTTCCCTTCAGTCATTCCAGTGGTGCCTGGAGAGATGCAGGCCAATTCAAGAGTGAGGTACCTTCTGGCAACCACCTAGACACCAAACACCACTGATCGATTTCTCTCTCTAAAAAAAAAAAAAGGCCAAAACATCAACATATCCTGATTTTATGAATTCTGAGGGCATTTGATTAAAAGTTGTTTTTTTGTTTTGTTTTGTTTCTTTTATCTGGTTTTCGAGGAAGTGATGGCCAGTAAAACTCTGTCTTGGGCCAGAAAGGACAATCTGCTCAAAACTCTTTGAGACTCCTAAACTGCTCACATCAAAAGCCTCCGCTGGTGTTCAGGCATTGAAGATGAAATGCAGCCAGACTACAGCATCACAGTCCCATCTGTATGGGCTCCATCCTAGAAGCCAGAGATCTAGCCTCTGTCCGCGGGGCCTTCAGGTCTCACTCATTGAAGGAGAGAGATGCAATGGCAGGGAAATAAGAGAAACATGAAGGTGGTTATGTCTTCAAAAGAGGGAGCATATGCCTGAAGATGCAACGAGGGCAGCACACAAGGAAAAAGGAAGAAGAGGAATCTGTTTATAGGTAAGTTCTGAAAGGATCTTAACAAGGTACTTTCTAAGAGACAGTCTCTTTGGCCTGAAAATTCTGTTCACCATCGGCTGGTATCAAACAGCATCCAGCAGACTCAACACTGGCATTGAGGCTAAGCTCATAGCTGGGAGTTTTTGCAGCAGCAGCAATGGCAGCTGTCACAGATAAATCAATGAGCAATACTTCTATGGAAGGTGTTCCTTTTTCCTGGGCAAATGTAGTCATTGCTCTGCCAACACCAGCGTGGGGTACTCCTTGGTGCTCACAGCTGCATCTCATTAGTGTTAAAGGCTCCATGATTCATGGGTGATTGCCAGCTATTATTTCCATATCACTGACCCACCTGAGTAGCGACAAGACGCTCTCAACTTGACGTCCAGCCAACCCCATCCGCTAATGGCTCATCTGACGGCTGCAGCTCACTCCTCTCCCAGCTAATGCCCCACCCCTCATTCCATGATTCAAGCCCTGAGATATAGAGTTCTTCTCCAACCCCTACATGTGCTAGCAGGTTATCCACACTTTGTTTTTCCCCCCAGGATGATGTCCCCTTCATTCTCTCCTGGAGACACAGAGAGGTTAGCAGAAAGGTGGGTTTCTGCCCATCTGCTAACGTCAGGGTATCACCCTTAAGTATGAGAAGCCTACCAAATTTCAGGTAAGGCTTTATTCCAGTCACTGAACTTTGACATGTGATACCAATGAGTAGATTTTCTCTTTGGGAAAATTCATTAACTTCTCAGAGTTTTAGTTCTGAGCTACATACAGAGCAAAGACTGTTAAGCTTCTTCCAGCTCCAAAATGATAGAATTCATTTAGTGTATCATCACAAAAGACACTTTTTAGTCCAGACTGGGATGACTATGATATCGTCTTAACTGGTCTTCTTGCTTTTGATCATTTACAACATTTCATTCATCCTTATATTTCTACCAAATTAACTTTTGTAGTCTATAGCTCTGAACACGTAATTCCACTGACCAAAATTTTCAAAGGGTGACTAATTAGAAAAGCAAAAATTATTTTGTCTAACAACAAAACAGTCAAAACAGTAAATAATCAAGATTTTGTTTCAAAAGTATATAACTAGCTCTATCAAATTTCAGTTTCAGCCACACAAATTCACAATCCTGTAATCGTGTTTTTTTTCTAACTTTGTATTTTTGTTTATGACATCCTTCTTGTGTACATGTGCCCCCAACAGAAATATGACATACTAATTAAGGCCCAGAGAAATCATTTCTTGAGATCTTTATCTCCTGAACTTTGGGCTGCCAATTTCATATAATCGATCCAGCTATATTGATTGGGTATCTGGTATGTGTGAATGAGGGTACTGCTTTTCTTGGCTTCTCTTAGATTATTGGTGAACTCATGTGTATTTAATATTCTCTCCCAAGATGGATTGAATACTCCATACCGTACTGATCTTGTACTAACAGGAAACCATGCAGATCACCTAAAATGGATGTGGAGTTTAATATTTGTTTTCCCAATTTTTTTGGAAGTGCACCTGCAATTATAATTATGTGTCCAAACATATATTACAGCAAAGGAAGCCAACACGAAGTACTGCTCACTGTAAGTGGCTGAGTAGGGGCCACAGCCCAGAGGCCCCAAGTCTTCCAGGGTTACCCACTCTGCCACAGTGATCATGGGAAATACTGAAGTGCTGGAACAGGAAGGGTTACATAGCGGGGCATCTGCGTTAGCACAACTGCAAAGACTCATGTTATTCACTTAGCCAGGTAAAGCTGGCCCTCACTGTGCCTCCAGCATTATGGAGAAAATCAACCAGCTGTCAAATAAAATACAATAACCCAGTGGATTAAATGATTAATATTCTGTGTCCTGAGCTTCTCAGCCTCGCCTCCAGCAATTGCACCTTCCTGGACCAGATGCACTGTGGCTTGACTTTGGGAATGAAACTGTACCTTCTACTGAAAGGGTAGCCAGAGTGCTCAAGAGGAAAAAAAAACAAACAAAAAAAACAATTGATACTAATTGTAAATCTCTTCCATTTTTAGGCTTAATGTGCATTTTATTTGGCAGTAAGGGCGGTGTGCATAAAACTCCAATACTGGGCCAGCCAAGTGGCATGGTTGGTTAAGAGCTGGCTTGGGACGCCAGCTCTGAGCAGCAGGGCCCTGGTTCGGATCCCACATGGGGGCCAGTGACACTGCCCTCTACAGCTAAGATGGTGAACAACAGCTTAGCCTGTAGCTGGACTACCGTGAGTCACCGGCGACGGCACAGTCTGCAGTGAAGTTGCAGTGGGCTGCCATAAGCTACCGTGTGTGGCTGGCAGCCAGCGTGAGCGGCCAGCAGCCGGCGTGAGCAGCCGTCCAGAGGCTGGCGACCTATCTGCCTCAACCGGGAAGAGCGCAATGATAATACCAACATGGGCCAGTGAAGCGACGTCCTCCACAACTAGACTGAAGAACAAAACGACAGCAACTTGTCTGTTCCCCTTCCCCGATTCCTCAGTGCTATTCCCCTCCCCCAACTCCCCAATATTTAAAAAAAACCTCCCAATACTAAGAATTTTTCTTCCTACAAAATGCCTGTGTCAATATAGACCTTGGAAAGTTGCTTATACCATTCCACTCTCTTCAGGAGACAGATCTCTATCAGCCCAGACACATAAAACCCTAGAATATCCTATTCACTCATGTGAGTCCAGTATTTCTTTAAATATGTATAATGTCTAATAAGTGAGTCCTCAAAGGAGAATTCTAAGAATACCTTCACTGAATCATGCATTTCACAAACAGCATTCCGGTATCTCACTATTTTCCTTTTGGCTTTTAAGGTAGTCTCTCTCACTTTCGCCTGTGTATGTGATGTTTCTTTTCATTTAATTGCATTGTCTGTTGCTAGCCTAGTATTCAACCTGGGAATGTGAGTTCCTTAAAAGCAGGGGCTATATGTATTTTATAGTATATCTGTAGTATAGAGGATGTGTTATACTTTATAGTATCTATCCCCAAAAATATATACACATATATCACACACACATGCAAAGCCATAGAAGAGCATAACCTTGTTCAATACTTTCTTTACAAAGTGGGACGCTCCACCAACGCAACCAGCAAGAGAAGAAAAGTCCTGAGAAAATCTGGTTCCAATTATTGTTCCTCTGGTCATTTATCCCACTGTTTTAGCAAATTCCTAGGTAGTGTTCTTATCCGTTTGGGGGTCATTCTTCCCTTTAAGGTCTGAGAAAAGCTATCCCGGTTATTTATCCAGGAAAGTGACCACCTCTCCACATACACAAAACACTGTCATGGATTCCATGGAAGTCAGGGGTTCCTGGCGGCCTGAAACATCTAGGTTGAGAACTGCTTCTCCACAAGGAATTCCTTAGTGTCTAGCTTTTCCTTCTCACGCTGTTTCAAATATGTACAAAACTCCAGCAGGCGGCCTGGGGCCCTTGCTGCTGCTCACCCCATTGGCCCACAGTTCAGGCTACTGCGCAGAACAAAATTGATCATGGAGAAGACATGCAGACATGATGAACTAGCGGACTTTTTTCCTGGAGAACCATATGCCGTCATCTCAGACAAGGCAATCGTGCTCACCTTTTGGTCTTGGCTGTATGCCAGGATCCAGTCCTCTTGCTTGGGGTGGAAAAGCAAGCTCTGGAGGTAGAAGTTCAGCCGGTACTTCTGATAGGTCGCACCTTCATCTGAGCTGATCAATAAACTGCTCTCGATCTCTGGGTCCGTGAGTAACATAATCTACAGCAAAGAATTGTTGGGGAAAGAAAATAACAGAAAGCTAAGTTCACAAATTTCCAAAACTGGAAAATGAGCTAAAATTCTGACGTAGGAGGGGGGAAAAAAAAAAAAAAAGCAAAGAACACTTGGCCAAGCGGGAACCTTGACTGGGCCAGGTTGTTTTCCTGCCTTGGACCAATGGCATGAAACAATTTTCACTAAGAAATGAAAGAGGCAGCACAGGTTGGAACCAAGGGAGAGACAGGAATTTTCTTCTCCTCTCGAGGGTTCCTTGTTTCCTCCCCAAGGTTATTTCCTTAGCCTGAAATATTTCCCGCTGTTCCCCTAACCTCAACCCTTCTTCCTACTGTACCTTGTCTACTTTTCATTTGTACAGGGATGAAAGAGCAAGACTCGTCATGGTCCATGGTGGGAAAGGTGGAAAAAAAGTAGAAAGGGATGTAGTCCACTGGTTCTTCTCCCTTCCCGAAGCCCTCTGTTCATATCAAAAATACCCCATGTCATCCTGCCTTCAGATTTTTTGAGTCCTGAGTCACAGGCAGGCCTTTCTAAAGCCTTCTCTGGGAATTTCACAAAGGCCACTTTCTCATCTTCGACCCGGCTATATAATTTACTTGTTTATTTTGTTTATTGTTCACATATGCTCTACTAGAACATAAACCCCATAAGAATAAGGATATTGATATGTCTCTATTATTCTCCCCCACGGGTGTATTCCCAGATGCTAGAGTGAGGCCAAGCATATATTATATATTCAGTAAATATTTGTCAAATGAATGGATGGGAAGCACTTTCAGAATAGTCATGTGAAGCTAGAAAGATGCCCAGAGAAGTCTGAGCAGAACCAAATGGAAGTTCCTCAGAAAGAATGGGAGATCCTTCTCAACCTTTGGGCTATTGATAAGACAACATGCTCTACATGCGGACACTTCACAGCTTCAGAGGCTTTGCTCTCTCTCTTTGGGACAGCTAATCTTGGCCAGAGTGGTGTGAACCACCCACAATAGGAACGAGATGGAGAGGCTGCCCGGAAAACTGATGTTTACTCTCTCGTTTTATGCCTCTAGAAGTGCATGATAAAGTGGCCCATTCCCGACTCTCTGCAGATCTCCTTTCACTCAGAGTGCATCCCTAATGCCTCCAGACAGGTGGCCTGAAGGCTAACCACTGACGTCTTCCCCATCCACTTATTAATTGGCGCTTCCTGAGTTTGGTTCGCAGATGCATGAACGATATGCTTCATGTGTGGCTATATGCAGAGAACTCACTGCAGCCCGGGGTTTAAACATTACCAGCCAGGGATGCGGCAGTTCCAGAAAAAGACGAGAGAAAGAAAGAAAAAAAAAAAGTCATATCTTAGAAGTGTAGAGTGCCAGGCAGACACACAGAGATTTCTCAAGCGTTTGGAGGCCATCATAGTAAAACCTCAGGATAGTTAGTGTCATCTCTGAAAGCGGTGCCCTGTCACTGCAAATAGCACATGAGGATTGCACGCCAGACACACTCAGCCTGAACTGTGTTTATATTATCCAGGATGGACTGAAGGTTCCTTGCTATTCTTTCCACCTCCCCTTCTTGAACAGGAGGAAAGGGATGCGGTGAGGTGAGCAAAATGCTGCGACTGCCAGCTGCACTCCGGACAAGATGAAGAGCACACACAAAACCAGAGGCTCATTGACTCTCATTCCATGTTCCACTGTAGCCACTGTTCCCAGCCATAAAACCTGACACAGTTAGAGTTTTCTCTGTCTCCCATTCACCAGGCAGAGAGTGTTCCTTCATCGAATGGCTGACATGGAGCCATTGGAGTTTGCACTGCTAAGTACAAACTCACATGGCTCCATTAAAATCTATTGCAAGCATTACACAAGGATGTTCAGATGGCTCCCAAATTCACAAGAATATTTCCAGGTGACTTCATATTTACTGGCACACAAAAGCTCTTGTTTTCCAAATAGCAAGTAGGTCTGCAAATGATCATACTGCTTTGTGTCTCCAACCACAATTAACGGTAATAGATAACAACCTTTTTGCACCACTGCCAAAAGTAATTTCCATAATAATACGAAGAGGCTCAGTTTTATAGGGCATCTATTGTCTCAGGCAAGGTGATTCTTCTCCCTCTGATAGTCTGTTTCCCTGTTAACCAGGATATGTTTTCTTCCCTTCCCATGAGTGAAAATCTCACCACCTGCTTCTTCTGGCAGACTACTTCAGCAAAGTAAAAACACTGGGCTTACAGAACAGCCTCAAACCAAGCTGGGTTCTATTTATCACTTATTTAAAATGGTTTTGATACTCATGTATGCTCTAAGTCATCAGCCTTTGTATTCAGGTGATACTAAATAAAGGAGGGAGAGAGGAGGTAGAATAATGCATATATTTTCAAATATGGCTACTTAGTATTGAATAAATGAAACGTCTGGCTTCCTTGTATTTTTTTTTCCCCTGGGTACTAAAAACACATAGCCCAAAATCTCACCTTCTGTATAAGGTCCTTACTTGTCCTTACTTGAAACCTTCTATTTGGGAATTTGACAATTTTTTCCTTGGGGGGGGGGGCAAATTTGGCATTTTGGAAATGATGAAAGATGTATAGGAAATTCCCCCTGTAAGATTTATAGGCGTGTCTACATTATACAAAACGTACAATGGTTCTTCTCTCAAATCTCTGCTCAGATCCACTCAAAACAAATGGATCAATCGGGATCCATTTTTGTTTAGTCATTGTTTTATTGCACGCACAACTTGTAAGATCACCAGTAGCATTTCAAAAGAAAACGAAAAAAATAAATTGCTCATGATCCGATCTCTTCAGCAAAGTAAACAATGATTGTGCTTCCTTCTACTTCTTTAATCCACATCTGTATATTACATCATAGATTGAGCTTTTTATTCTGATTTTTAAAAATTTAATATTTTGGCCTATATTCACTTCCAACTGAATGACAAACGCCAATGCATGCACACACATTAGTACACATCATTGTGTACAATGTATTAATCACAACCTTCAACATAACTAGGTTACAATGGGTGCATTTAATAAATTAGTGTTAACCAAATAAGTGAAATCTTATTATTTCAGTCTTCAAATTCAAATTCTTCAGCAATTTTATTTCAAGTGGGTTGAGGTTTGTTCTGCCATTTTGTAGGTTACTAAAAGTAAATAAGTTAACAAGTAAATAAAGAATTTAAGCAAGATGTAAATAGAAAATGTTTTACCTATTGGAGAAAAAGAAACACTATAAATAATACATATGATCTGATCTTCAGACATAAATGATGTTGTTCATAAATAAATAAGTCCTATCTTCTCCAGAAGTTGTTCAACTGGGAAATATCAAAATGATAACTTCAAGTTAGTGACTACGTCTCAAAAATTAATAGCATGCCTCAAACATGTCCAATGATCACTGTTTTTACTGGTTTACACTGGCTCTCTATCCACTTCTGGCTCTTCCTGTGACTCTGAATAAATGGTGTTTTGCTGTGTTTGATCCCCTGCATTCTAGATGATCTGATGACAGAATTTTAGGATTTTGTAAAAGGCATGAATCCAAACTTTGCACAATTCTTGAAGTAAGCCCTATAAAAAGAGTGGTCATCATTTGCCTGGCATAAAGCTTGGCCTATAGAAGGTCTATACATCTTTGTAAATGAACAAATGAATGAGTGAATAGGTGAGTCCTCTTCATCCTTGCCTTCTGCTGAGTGCAGCCCATGGACCCCTGTGACACAGAGTCTGAGTCCTCTTAAATAAACCCCTGCTGTTCTCCTTGGAGGAAAGGAGGGTAGAGACAAAGGGAAGAGTCTGTCTTTAGGAAAGTAATTATTCCCTGTTCAGACTGGCCCACAAACGATTAGAACCAGTCTACTTATACCATGCAGGGTGTGCAGACACTGCATTGACTGCGTTTGCAGATGAACTGTTTCCCATAGAAAGTCAATAATGGCGACACAGGCTCCCACCACTCAACACTAAGCAATCATTCATCATCCACTCCGGGAGAAGGAAGAAACTGTATTTGCTTTTCCTAGAGGTGACAAATGAACGTGAAATACAATTTATGGATTTCAAATGTGTCACTTCTCACATTTTTTGGTATTAGTCCTTCTGACAGCTTAGTGGTGTCAAAAATTAAATGGTTCTTCACTCTCCCTGACTTGTTTCAGATTCAACATATGGCTACATGCTGTAATTCTACAAAAGGTTGGCTGGGAGCTGTCTGATCCTTCCAGGGCGCCCACCAGGGGCATTCCTCCAAGAAATGCTCCTACTACTTAGTTTTCCAGGTTTTTTCCTAGGGGTGTCGATCTTGGAATTCTATCATTTACCTGTTGAGATGGGACAGAGTTCATAAGGGGCAGCTTCAACATCTATAGGCATATACTTTTTCCCACAACTCTTTGGTCCTAAACCAAAGAATATTTATTTTATGTGGTGTTCATTATTTGTTTGCTCATTTGTCTACTCGTTGTCCTTTGTGGACTGGAATCAAGAGGAGGTAATGTACTAGGAGACATCTCTCTTGCTTTGCTGAAGGCTTAACTCAAGTTCAAATGTCCATATCACAGGTGCATGATAAACCCTTTTCATAATGATAATGACAATGCCAAAGAAAAACAGCAATAGCCATAATTGGGCACTCCAGTTATCTACCCACTTTGCCCAAACAAAAATCTATCTATAAACAATATAAGAGGCTATTTGCAGGCCTCTGGCTTTGATATTAAATATGAATTATGCAAAATGTAATCAGAGCAAGTGAGTCATTTGCTCACGACTGTGGGTGAAAAAGCTGCCTATCCCCAATGTGAACTGAACATTTGTCCCTCCAGATGAACTGAGGGTGAGAGCAGTAAATGCTTGTCAATTGGTGACTGTTTCAAGGACAGGGTTAGGGGAAGTTACACAGGATCCCAGAATGACCCTTGAATAGGAAATCACTGAAAACAATAGTGATAAAAGGAGAGGGAAGTGATTAAACAGAAAAAGG